GGTGTGCATTTCTTTGCAAGAATACATTGGGATGTAGCAAGCAAAATCTATCTAGCGCATCGACGTCAGAATCTTCAACTGGACACTCTATGCGCATCTCCATTGCATATATATCTCTATTTCTCTCCCTCCTCATTAGCAAAATACGTCATGGTGACGGTGTGCGAAACAAACAGCCTAATACATTTATATCAACTGCATGCATCATCCCATTGTTAAAAATGAATTGGTACAAAATGGTGGTCCCCGTTGATAATCAAATAATCTATTCCCACATATCCGTCAAAACATGCCGGCTAAATTAATTGCAACAATTCACCAACCTGAAAGCAGGTCATTTCGTTTTCATGGTTCCCTATTCTTAACAGCCATGTAGGTTTCCTCCCAGCAAGGTTGTTTTAATTTACCAAGATTTTATTCCATCCTTTTTATCAATTCATATCCCTATAAATCACTGCTACTGTTGATGTTGATGATGTTGTTGTTGTTGTTGTTGCTGCTGTATATGACTAAAATGATTGTACATAACCGAATCATCATCCATATATATATATAATATATATATATATAGAAAAATAGGTATATTCCATGATGTCCCCATGCTACCACCATTCTTGTCGTTTAAATCCAGCTGCTTGCTGCTTGGCCTAGGGTAAACTAACATAATTATCACAATTGGACGCGGAAAATCAACCATATTTATACCTTTGGTGATAACAAGGAGCATCTTTGGGAGGTCCATCTTAGCATATAACCAAAATATTTTTTTAAAAAAAAATATTCCAATAATTTATTTGTGGCTTATAACATGACCTTTGGGTGCATCATGGATTATCATCATCATCTCATCCTTGTCTCAAATTCACATCATCCTCACCTCATGGTGATCTCAACATGATCTTATCCTGATCTCTTCATGATATCATTATCATGGATTGCCATCATTTCCTGTGTCATCATGGGTTCTCATCATCATCAGCATCATCATCAGCACCTCATCATCACATCTCATCATCCTATCATGCATGGCCATCCTGGTTCAATAATGATGCAGGTGTTCAGGCTCAGGGTCAGAGTCATCAGTTCCAAGTGTGTCGCCATGGGAAAGAAAGACAGGAAAAAGAAAAACACGAAGGAACAGAGAGAGTACTTGGGCAACATTCAGCACATTTTAATTTATAGATTGTTGGAGGATTGTTAGTTTGGATGTCCAATCCCCTTGGCTACTGAGGCCAACTGGTACCCAATGGCAGCAAGTTCCTCCTGCAGGATGGCAGCAGCTTGGCTATGGATCAGAATGCATGCAATAATGGAAGGAAACATGTTTGTGTGTCATTGGTACAATGATCCAGCAGCATGTGTAATAATACATTTCAGGATTGCATGCACACATATACATACATAATATATGTATATATAAGTAGTATGATTTAATGCTCTATTAGACTATTGATATGTTACGTGTGCATATGTGCATGCATAGATAAGTTTAGACACACCATATATTTGTTAGATTATATTATTTTATGTTATTTTGCTATATTTGATTTTATTTGTTATTATTTATTTTTAGTTTTTGTTATTTGTTTTATATGTTTTGATGTGTTTTAATATTTTTTAATATTTGTCATATGTTTTGATATGTTTTCATATTTTGGAACCTGGCTCAGAAATGAACCCTGTAGACATGAACCTTGGGATCACAAATGGTTATAGATCATGTTCCAAGGGGAACCATGAGTTGTCCACATCTATGTCTATATATATATATATATGTTCATCAAAGGGAACCCCCATGTTTTCCCTCCAAGCAGCCTCTTTCGAAGGTTTCGGGGAGGCTTTATGCCTGGCACTACCGGTGAAAGGGTGTGAAACCTGTGGATTCCTAGTATAGGAATTCCATGGAGTCAAAAAAGCAAATCCAAAAACGTAGAAATAAAATAGAATGAATTAGTTTTAATGTGCACATATGACTTTCCAGATCAACTATTCTCTTGAAGATTGCTGGCGCGGACTTGCGTTTGGGCACCATTTATGGTAAGAAAATGCAAAGAACCATCTCATATTTTGTGAACGTCCCATGAACAACAGAAAAAACACGAATATCAAAATAATTTGAAACCACGAATCAAATATATTACTCTCAACCCAAGGTTTGACGAACTCATGTGCTCATACAGAACAAGTTGACTGATGTTAGTTGACCGCAGTGCAGCACTGCACTGCATTCTTAGGGACGTATCCAACTAGATTGGGCGTGACTTGTCCAAAAAATACCGGGTAAAATTGCCCCCTGAGCTGTTCTCATGCAGCCATTTAGGAAGATTCCCCTAATCCATTCACCATTATCCCCGTGACGGAAAACAACAGGAGGGCATGAAATTCATCAGGATCCCCGGGGCCATCAAAAATTAAAAACTACTCCCAGTAGATTCTTCAAACTTTGGATCAACCAAATGGCGAATAAACATGTTCAGCAAATCCAAGACAACAAGATGTTTTGCAAACCTCAAAACTGGGGATTTCTCTTGTCATTTCTGCAGATGTTACGTGAGGATCGTTGGTGTTATGATCAATCGCAAACCTAGACTGCAAACCTTTAATACGACTTTAGTTTCTATTGACCTTTGGTAATATCAATTCCGGAGTCATAAACCATGGAGAAGATTGGAGAAGCATGGTTTATTAATTAGGGTAGTACCCCCCAAATAGTGACAATCTACCATCCCAATTACAAAGAGTCTAGTGGTTTCCTAATTCAGGGTTGACGTTATTCAATGAAGGTGATAAATTCAACCATGAGTCTTGCTAGTTGCTAGTTAAACACATCTTTTGCGTCATGTGAAGTCAGAGTTTTCATCGGAAATTCCGGAAACCCTGTGTGCCTGACATCCAGATTTGGCGCCTCACGCATGGCGATCGTGAAGAGAAGAGATCCCAAATTCCCAACAACATGGTGACGATTAGGAGACATTCTGATTCCATGATTTTGCAATCTGTGAGGGAGAAATTGAATTATAATCATTAGCCAAGAAAATACTGTAACATGATGAATATTAGGCAACATCTACAATGCGTAAACATTTGTCGGGTCAAAGACTAGAACCATAACACAACTACCGGATAAAACTAATTAAATTGGAGTATAACAGTATAACACTGTTCTGCTTCTGATGGGATCTGAATATTGTGACCACAACTAGCGGGAAATAGCAGGAAGAACAGAGAAAAAAAACACAAGCCATTGTGAATGGCTGGCTACAAGGGGTAGCAAAGGATGAGTGCACCAACAGGTGGCCCGAACCAGGCATTGCTCGATCCCGGGAAAATGGGGTTGTCACTCTAAGCAGCAACCACTGGTTAAAAAACTCCTGGTCAGCTGCGGAAGAAAATCACCACCCTGACATGTTTGATCATTTTGGAATGATGTCCCTTAGTTTAATGATGTTTAATTATTTACAGCCGTCGCGACGTGAGGTCGTAATTTACCCTGCGGTACTTAGACAAAACTGGAAAATCCCGACCTAAATGATCCAAATGGAGGTTTATAATTATAGTTTGAATATGTTTGAATGACAAAATCATGGAACGAAATGGATGATTTCCAAGCCACGGAGCTCATAGCAGACCCGCCGGGCGTGCCTCACCAATGAAAAATGCCACATTGCCAGCACCTCGATCCGCAATTTCCCAAAGGCTTGGTGAATTCAGATGATGTGACCATGTACAGGAATTGCTAGTAAAACCCACGCCTTTTCGGCTTCGATTTTCCAGAAAACCAAGAAATCATGTGAAAATATATGAGGAACATCATCATCACCATCATCATCATCAGTACCCTCTGGTAAACTAACATAGCTATTGAAAATGGCCATAGACATAGTGAGTTTTCCCATCAAACATGGTGATTTTCCATAGCTACGTTAAATTACCAGAGGGTAATTTGTTCCTCATCATCATCATCAGTAATTTGTTCCTGTCAAGAATTACGATTCACCGCTGGTGATTGCCATGTAGGGAATTTCCGAAGGCAAATCAGAGGGAATGAATCCATTCGTGTGAAGCGGCAAAACGACTTCGGCCCATCTTAACACTAAAGATACCCTCTGGTAATGACTAACATAGCTACTGAAAAACCACCATTTTTTCATGGGTAAATCCATGTAAATCCACTATTTCAAAGGTCCATATGGCCATTTTCAATAGCTTTTTGTATGTTTACCAGGCCGGGTAGAAGGTCGGTGTAAAGGCCAGGACAGCAGAACAACAAAAGTATCGGATCGCTGCCTTGCCCACCTAAAATTTCGAAATTCAAAAGGTAAGGACCAGATGAATCCATAAAATGGAGTGTAAACCACCATTCCTACTTATCTACTTATCTGGAAAGAACATTCTTGTTTACTGACCATTCCGACATTCCTGAAAATGACTGTAAAAATTCGCATGTTTCATGCAAAAAACATCAAATCCAGCCCATCTTTGATAAGAATCCAGCAGTTCCAAATGAACAAATCATGATCTTCAGTTGGGAATCCAAAGAACCTGGCTGAATCAGTAGTCCAATTAATCTGGCATCATAAGCTAACTGGTCTAAACCTGAAAATAGTTACGGTCAGCCAGGGGCATGATTCAGTTTCGAAACATCGCGGATGCTACCGTTCTGTCGCATCACGAGCGAGGCCAGGCTACCTCCAGCACTTCCAGATGGGTTGCCGAAAACACGTAGCGAAACCTTCATCCGGGTAACCACGGGTAGCCGAGAAGTCGCCACGCCACGCTGTACAAGTGGCATCAAGTGGCAATGGCTACAGTAAATACTCTGATCTGTACGTATCATGGCCGTGAAGTTCAACCCATCACCAGCTCATATGAAATACATGGGGCAGTCCCATGGCATATGGTCCCAAATATGTCTATAAATGATTGAATCCCCTACTAAACCATGGTTTGGACGGGGTGTTTAATATGAACTGGGGATGGGATTATGACCCATCACTACTCTATACAGTACAAATCTGTGGGGCGGATGTTGCGAGGCTTTGCTCAGCCCGAGTCGGTTTCCAGGAGGCAGTCCTCTGCAATTCTGAATGCCAACTCAAACCAGTAATAATTGAGATGTCTTTAATCTTTTTGCCATCCTGAGAATCCAAGAAGGACTTGGAACGTCTGTACATTCGCAACGTTTTCCGCGTGCATCCAATTTTCGAAACCTCACTGAGCTGCTCGCCCTTCGAGTGAAAGTGCGGCCGCCAACACAGGGCTGGACCGCAAAGCCACCGCGTCTTAGGCGAGGTCCGGAGGTCCCTGCGGCTGACGATGATGGCTTTCTCAAATAGCACTTGGGCATCCCGGAAACTGCGAATAGCTCAGATGTATAATATAGAACCCATTCATAACACATATATAGATATAGCTCTCTAAATATATATATATATAATATGCGTGCCTATTTATATATGTATAAAGAAATATCTATCTATCTATCTATCCATCTATCTATCTATCTATCTATCAATAGCACCAATAAGACAATATCTATATACATATATATACACATATGTCCACAACTGGTGATTTTTCATACACAATTGGGGTACACAACTGGTGTTGCTGTTGCTCACTTACTGGGGTGCACATCCAGGGATGGATACTGACCCTTGGTATCACCAACAAACCATCCCCACTAGAGGTCTATTATTGTGTGCATGGCCCTATGAGTGGGATGATGTAAAAGGACCCCCAGTCATGGTTTGTGAATGGGATGGTAAACATGGCATTGGGTTTGCCACATTACTTGAATTCTTCTGTATATGAGGATTGAAACATATAGAAGCGCTGTTTACCATCGCCAGAGTTCAAAGCGATTTTGGACTTTCGTTTCTCACTTTTAGTTTCTCTTTGGGCCACCTTGTTTCGAACAGCAATCCTTAAGCGTTGATCTCGACGCGATTTATGGTCATGGTTGAGGGGTTCGAGGGGTTCGGAGCCTTCGGAAGACCTTCATAGGAATCAAGTTTTGTGGATCCACATCCTGCTTCAGTTCCAAAAATACTTCGCCAGGGCCGTCTGCCAGCCGGCCGGGCTTTGCTTCGACCTAAAGCTGACATGGTATTGTCATGTATTGTCATGTATTGTCAAGATCAGGAACTCATCTGCGCAGTCAAAATTGACTTATCTACACATTCACTCACTGCTCACTCCATTTTTGATTCATCTGCGCACTCAAAATGTACGATCAGGTCTGGGGTTGGGGGTGGGTTGCCAATAACGAGTCAGAAGAGCGCGTGTACAAACGAGTTAAAAAACGCGTGTACAAACGAGGTTTTAATCTATTGCCTATTGTCAAGCCTGCATCAGTGGGATGGTTCGTGGGACGAAACCATGGGGAAAATTTAGCTCGAGGATAAGCATTTGGGATGCCTGGCTAAGAAAATACCTGATGAATACGAGGGGTGACCACCTAGCAATTCAATTGTCATGAGCTATCATGAATCCTCACTGCTTTCAAACACATTCCATTCTCACGGCTTTCAAAAAACTGAAATAACAAAACTTGCTGTCAATGTATGATATGTTTTCATCCAAACCCTGAATCAACCACGAAGCGCAAATGTCTTGGATTGATATGATGCCTCTGAACTTGAACGCCCTCAGAGCACATCTAAGCCATATTCAGCTTGCATCCTCTCTGGTTTTCTGATTTTTCTGTGGCAACTCATCTTGGACCTGGAGCCTATGGTAGACACAGTCAGATCCACAGCTGAACATATCACAACTACAACAACTGTACGATATATTCTGGTCCATTTTGGGGGTTCCATGTTGTGTTTCTGGATGTTTGAATTAAGTTTGGTTCCTTTACAAGCTATTTGGCCATTACCAAACGGGTACTAGCAATTGTGATATATTGCTCATAATCTATGGTGCGACCACTCACCAGCAACCCTCGTATTGAGTGTGTTGGCCACAGCTCACTTAGCTACAGTTCAACATCATTCCCACCCAAAATTTGGACGTTTTCATGCTCATACGACTCATATGATTATGTGCCATGGTTAAAACAAGGTAGATAAATATGGGTTACGGTCATCCAATATCATCCAATAATTACTGGAAACCCTTATTTCGGCCACACAACATCACTATTAAGGAGATATGACCATCGCCCCATTGATGGGCTAATTTAATCCAACTTCTGACCGTGGCGCAACTACCAAACATGGCCAATTTTGCTTGTTTCGAATCGCGCAGCACATTGTAGCACAAACCAGAAAATGTAATTACCGATCATTTACGATTCATTTAGGCACTTTTTGTTAACCCATTCATGTTGGGATCACAAACGAATTAGGTCACGCAAACGTGCCCATCCGCCACGGAACAATTCTGGAAATGGCACTTTGTTGACCTCAAAAAATGCGGCCACAAGCGGGCTTGTCTGAACAGAGGTATAACCAGTAATGGGAAACCATTGGGATCTTATGGGATGATAATAATAATAATAATATATATATATAGCAAACTTGAGATGGTAGGTTTGTTTGAATCTGGGGTATATAATACATGATCCCAAAACCTACTGTAGTTCTTGAACTTGGAGATGAGAATAGCTTTTATCAATTGGAATTGGGGTAAGTACTCCATTTCATACCAACCAAGGGAGAACAACAGGTATGATACAGCAGGTGGCCCAGGAAGCTATGCAGGACCTTTTGTACCTCGTCTTCGGAATCTTCAAAAAGCACTGAGGCTCCGCCGGTGGAATGCTTGGTGCCCCGGATTTTGAGGACTTTTGAGTCCGGGGGCATCGCGGCAAAGGGTGCCGCGGTGCACGTGTAACATGTGGCGACACCTGACCTTGGAACTAGGATAAACTGGTTTATATACATACTTGGATGTGCATCCCAGCTGCTAAGTGGGTAATAACGCTTGTATAAGCCAATTATAATTGGGTTATAGATGGACTGTATATAGGTTGCTAACATTTGTTAACCAATAAATTACTGATGTACATCAAAGTACTGACCATTGGCGAACTTTAAGGACTGGTTCGAGCACACTTCTCAAGCATCTTAAGGGTGTTTAAATAATGAGGGACACCTTCCGGTAATCAAACATGGCTTGCCGGAAAATCACAATTTACAAAGAGCTTTCCAATCGCCGATTACCAAATGAAAGCCATGCAATTCGCCCCCACTCTCCTAGACAAAATAGGCAAAATCGTTCAATGCATTTCATAACCCACGGGTCATGCTTCGCTTTGAAGTACATAGCCCCGGAAAACGGGGTGGGATTACCATGGTTTACCCAGTTCCATCGGTTCTGTATCCCAATCCATGTTGAATCATGTTGAATCTCCATTTGTCTCAACTCCGATAGTTCTGAACATCCTTTTGGCCTGGAAAATCACCCGAAATCCACAACCGACATGAATCTCCTGGATAGCCCCTAAAAGGGGATGACCAATCAGTGACGTCTCTGGTCATCGTATCACAAGTTTTATCCCGTCATCCCCCCCAAAAAACAAACATGACAAATTGATCACAGTGTATCTCTAAAAAACAAAAAAATCAGGAGGTTTCAATGGATTGGTTTAAGGGAAATTTTACAGATAAACCATAGATTTTCCCATGAAGATCATGGGGCTTTCCGGTTATTTTTTTTTCTTAATCCAATCCATTGAGGGCTTTGTGAAACCCCACCTTCATATGGATGACGATGTCTCCATCAGGCGCCAGCTCCTTCTTGTACATCGCATCGTTCACATCGATCCACCTCGGTTTAAATCTCGGAGCCGCTGAGGTCCACCACTGGGTTTTGGGTGTCATGATGTCATGGCGCCATACGCAGGCTGTGGGGTTCAGTTGGAGTGGAACAAAAGCTGAGGTTTACACCAATTGTATACCAGTTGGGCTTATATATATATAAGCATGTGATCTAGCTAGGGATTCTGTAATGCAAACTAGGATTTTTTGCCACTCTAAATTGAGAGGCTTGGGATTATATCACCAACTTCTTAGTTGGGATTATGAGTGGTAGATTGGGATTATATCACCAACTATCTTTAACCATGGGATGATATTTTTTTCAGGTAGAACCATGGCATTACGACCCCCATAAGTTCGGATGTCAACCTTATAATTCGGGTTATAGTATATATGTATATAAATATAATATATATATATGTATGTATGTATATGTGTATAACTTATATGACCACTTCTAACTGGAAGCGCGCCCCCCCCAAAAAAAAAAACTGAAATCCAGGAAGCCAGGATCGAGGCTAGCCGGCTAGCCATTTTGAGGTTGCGCCTGTCCCTATCTGGGTTTTCCATCACTCCCAGTCGCATTTCCCACGGAATATCTGAATATCTTGCTGGATCCATCGCTAAGTTTCCTGTTCAAACAGACTCTCAAGAACAGTGAACGTTTTGCAGATATGTGCTTATTTTAATCTGTGTTGGTATAGACCATGTCCTCATTTCGCTGTTGAACATGCCCTTTATATCCGCTTCATTGTGGTTTGTCACCTCGATATTGCTATTCCACATTTTCAACCCCTCCCAAGGCCGTCAGTCAGCTGGGCCTAATTTTCCACAAGAACAACGACCAAAGTCATTCGCACTCAAAGCGCTCATGAAAATCATGGTTGATTTACCAATTTTATGCTGGCTATTGATTAGTGTGGCTCCACCCCCTCAACAATTTGCGGGTACTCAATAAATCACCATTTTAGAAAAAAACATCTCAACAAGTTTTAGGATAGTCAACTTAGTTAAGGATTTCAATTGACATCAATCTACTTTCAATTGATTTTCCTTTTAAATCCAAAAAACATGGCCCCGAAAGTTTTTGTGCACAATAGGGTACCATCGAAACAATTACATTATTGAGGATCTGGGACACTCATGGGGTACCCCCTTGAAAAATTGTTTGGGTTCTGTTTTTTAACAAGGGTTTAATAAGGCATCTAATTATTTGGAAAACCTTGCATTTTCAAGGCTTTAACATGGATATGGCTTTCTAAAGTAAATGGACCAGCTTTACCCAAAGAAAGGTGTGTAATGGTGGATAAAGCTCCTCCGGAAAAAAATTGGATCTGAGAAAAAACTTTCCACAATAGAGCCCCACCCCCACCATCCACAGGATATTGAATTATTTTGGAAAATATTCAATAGATTTCAATAGTGGTCAATCACACTAATCGATAGCCAACATTATAAAGATTGGCCTAGTATACCGCCCTGCAAAATTTCGAGTCATTGAATTCGTTTGATTTGCTTTGCTGGTTATACAATTATACCCCAACACAAACCAACTCAATTCCCAAGTAAAGTGGTTGGTTGTTGAAATCAACGTCCGCACATCCATCCAGGTAACTCTTTCTCCGTGCGCTTGTAGGTTCCAAAGACCAAGTCCAACATTGGTCGGTTGAAGCCGTAGTTGGCCTGGGCCGGGACCGAGGTATTCTCTCCCTACTTTTATCATATATATATATAAATATAATATATATATATATATTTACGTATGTATATATATATACACATCTGTGTGTGTCTGCATATTCATATATATGTTCCCCCCTTCAAATCTCAAACCGTCTGGATTCAGACCTAGAGTTTTCCATGGGTCTGGATATGACACTCACACTAAGCATCTCACCAACCAAACCATCGCTCAAAAAAGCGTGCTCCGGGCTTGCAAAACCATGCATTGGCATCAATCCTGAAAAAAAAAAAACACTGAGAATACAATGTGAATCGGTGACACGATGCCTAGCGGGCCTAGCACTTTTCAGAACGACACCTTCGACAGTATCTCTCGGGCTCGGCTCTTTTTCTGTCTGAAGATTCTGGGCGCCGGTGTTGTCATGGTAAAGGTCCATTGTTGATGGCTGAAACAATGTTTAGATATATCAGCATCTTGGTTCAAGGCAAACTCTCACGGAGAACAAAGTCTTTATGGAAAATATAGCAAATATATGCATACAATTGCGATGCCTAA